ATTGTTTATGTTCATGCTGCGACCATACCATTTATAAGTTATTCATGTGCATAGTGTGAGTACGATAGTTAACTGTACTCACTCCCACCTGCTCGTAACTGATGCAGGTTAAGCAGTTGGCGGTGACGAGACGAGATGACGAGTGGTGGTTATGACATTTATTTGTTTAATTTTGCTTCCGCTTAGTTTATGAATTCATGTCGAGATTTGGATATTGATCATGTCGTTTGGAACTTGGGATTATGAATTATCTTTTGTGATTTTGAATTTAATGAATGCTAGTGAGGTTTATGATTTAATATTCGAGCATGCTATCTTTCTTTAATGTGGCTGTTTTTGCGGATAAAAGCTTTTGGTAAAATAAGTAGCGCCCTCTGAGTTTTTAATTAAATTAAAGTTTGCGAAAAATTTATTGTGATTTTTTTATTAAATAAATTCGATAAATATTTCAAAATAAAGTGGGGCGTTACAGGCACTAAACGTCTACCGATGTCGTCGGGTTGCGTAGAGAAGACGACCACGATATGGTGAACGGAGGATATGAGCATGTTGTTGGACCTGTACGGAGAAGACGACCACGTGCGTCGTCGGATCGGGTGGAGAAGATGACCTCACCGGGAACAGAAATTCGGCCACCGTGGCTAAATCCATGTCGAGGCGGCGGTCGGATATGTCGACAGACTAGACCCTCTAGCAGTCTCCGCCTAAATTGCAAGGTGAAACGGCGAGTTGTGACGTCTAGAGCTCGTCGGGAATTTGATAGCTAGGATTTCGACAAGGCGACATGGACGATGGCCGGAACAAGGACGGCTGCGGAAACAGAGACATTGGCGGAGATGGTGGCGATGAGGACGGGCGTTCGATCTTGTTTAGGTCGGCCTCCAGCTGTCGGTCCTCGACCGCCGGTCAACGGGAAACATATTTATTTATTATATAATTAATTTAAATACAATAATTAATATTTTTTATTATTTAAGTGCGGGAGAGTTGTTTGTCCCATTTTTGCTGCATTTTTCGTTATTGTTTTGCTTTCTTTTCTTCCATTTTAGGAATTTTCTTTGCTTATTAGTCCGTTTTGTAGTTTGATGCTTGTTTTTCTTTATTTTGGGTTTTTTTGCGTTTTTGTTTGTGCTTTCCGGTTTTCTTCGTATTGTTGTCGAGACTAAATTAAATATAATAATTAATATTTTTTATTATTTAATTAATATATATTTAATTGATTAATATGAGCCATTGATCTAAACAAAATGAATGGCTACGATTGAGTCTCATGTACTCATTTTAAAGTGTCCTCATTTGATCCAACCCCTATATTTTATACAATTTGAGAATAAAAACACATATAGTATTTTAAATAGTTATCACCTATTAGTTATCTTTATTTTTTATAATTTCATAATAATAATATAAATGCTTTTATATATTGACTTTTTACTAAAAAAATATTTGAAAATAATTTAAAAATTCAAAATGACATTAACAGAGTTTTAAATGTGTATGTAAGACATATATAACCTTATATATGTAATTAAGACAATTATATTATTTTTAACAATTTCAGGATAAAAACACATATATTATTTTAAATAGTTTTCACTTTATTTGTTATTACATTAGTTTTTATAATTTCACAATAAGTAGTATTTGCTTCTGTGCACATGCACAAAGGGAAACAAAATTTAAAGGGAAACAAAATTTATATAATATATGTACGTTATGTTATTTACAAATTTAAATTACATAAAGTGTGTAGTACATGTTGACTATATGTAAATGTGTAATATATATATAAATTATTTAACTTCCATATAAATCAGTATTTTTGTTTTTTTTTGTTATTGTATAAATATAATACAAAATAAGAATATTACATGTAAAATAATTTAATATTGTATATTTAGAAAATTTAAAATCTTGTAAAACTGTTATAAAATAAAAAATTTATAATAATAAGGTTTTACTTGTGTAAATATCATTTGAATACTGATCATAAAGATTTTTATTAAATGAAATTCTATTTTTATTAATTGCTGAATAAAATATATTGAAATTATAGATAATATAAATATTTATATATATAGACTTTTTACTATAAATATATCTTTTTCAAGCTCGGTAGCCGAAGTTTGAAAGGCATGAGAAGACGGGGTTGATTGTTACGACCCAAAACAGAAGAGTAGTAGTGTAGTACTAGGATAGGATAACTTACGAGCGAAGAAAAGAATGATAAAACGAGCGAGAAGAGATTTGATTTTCCACAATTTGAACTGTATTTATATTTATTACTGTATTTAACAAACTGAAAACGTTATACATAAATTTGATAGATAAGCATAGAGATGGCAAGGCGTTCGCCGGAGATGATCGTGACTAACCCGCCGGCGGTGGAGCTCGTCTACACGAATTTCGCTTACTGCTCCCCCTTCGATCTCCGGACTTTCCTCGTGCCCGGATGTAGATTGGCTTACGCTTTGGTTGGCGATGTTTTCGTTCTCACTATTGCATATCCTATTTATCGATATCAACATTTCCATTTTATAGTCTCTTTTCTAAATTCATAATGTGACGAGATTTGGCGTTAATTAGCATTGGGAATTTGCAGTGACTGAGCTGTTTTGCATTAGATTTTATTGTCGGGTCTCCTTTTTGTACTACCTGATGCATAGTCATTTGTTTATGCCTCAAAACTTGATGATCGTACGATTATTTTATTCTGGGAAACTCAGGAATTGACCAAAAACCAACAAATGCAACAAATTTTCCCTTTCATTTCCTTAAGCAGTTTGAGGTTTTATATGCATCTTCATTTGAACTTATTAAGTGATGATACACCCGTATATGTAGTGATGGTTATTTCTTGTTATTCTTGGGTTGGCACTATTGTCAATGTTTGGAGTTATCAATTGCTGATTGAAAATTGATTGTCAAAATAAATAGCAGGATACAGACTAAACCCTTGTGGGTTTATTGTACTTGAGATAGTTGAACAATAAAAATCCATGGCAGGACTGAATGAAGCAATGTCAGTCTGTACAATTATGGTTCTCTGCTTCATGGTTATATAAAGGATGAAAAAATAAAAACGCTTTCTATTAGTAATACCTTTGCTGCTGCTGCTGCCGATTCTTCTACTATCAATATTACTCCTACTTTACTGTACTCATGAGTTATCACGGGATGTTAAATTTTCTCAAACTTGAAGTGTGTCCTTAACTTCAATACACCGAACATGATGCTGTTCCAAGTGGCCGTGTTGCTCTTAATTCAATCCAACGTCGCCATACTAAAGTGTCCACAGGGGATTCAATCTTTGTCAGTAGGTATGATTGCTGTAGGTGCTGTGCGATTATTATTATTTTTTACTTTATATTCCTTCTAAAAGAGCTTCTGTTTTTCTTTCCTGACAATGAATCTTTTAGATTCATTCCCCCTGAAAATTTCGACCTCGCGTTGCTCACCCTTGAATTAGAGTTTTCAAAGAAAGGGACTAAAGATGAACAGGTATATACTGCCTTCTAAGTTTCTGGTTGTCTTTACCACTCCACAACACTGCTAAGAAATAGTTTTCATGCTATTTGTTTTTCTTTATATGATTCTCTCTCTTCCCATTGAAGTACTTATCATCTCTCTCCTACTCTTATACTTGGCCTATCTTGTTGATACAACTGTCTTATCATGCAGGTTGATGCTGTTCTTTTGTCCCAGCAAATACGTAGGAGATTTATGAACCAGGTAAAAGCTATCTCTTCTCTTAGAATTGTATATTGTGATATGTAATTCCCTTCCTATCTAAATCATTACTTGAGTTTTGTTATATGACATATATGTAAATTTCATGGTTTTTACCTCCTGTTTTGTTCATGTGGATCTCGAAATCATGTGGAACATGCCCCCTAGTTGTATGCAAAATGTGGTTTTCAATTAACTTAATAATATTTTTCTTGAAATTGATTATATATTTATGTTTGTTTATTCTCATTTTAGTTTGAGGAAGACCATTTTGTCTTACAAATAGAGACACAGCCAACATTATTACTTCTACTATTATTACTAAATCAGCATCGTTTATGTGAACAAGATCTTTTACTTGGTTATTGGTTTGGGAACTATATTTCAGTGTCAAATGTATTATTTTTGAACTGGAAGTTATACCAATATCTCTTGCAATTTGCACGAGCATACCAAAGGCTAATTAATGAAGTTTACTACCAAAAATAGGGAAGGGAAGTTAGAAATTGTTTATACTGAATTAACATTTATTATGTTCAGGTTATGACAACTGGACAAAGAGTGACATTTGAATATCATGGCAATGGATTTATCTTCACCGTTAATCAAGCTTCTGTAGAGGGACAGGAAAATTCTAATGGCGTTGATAGAGGGATGATATCAGCTGACACATATATTATTTATCAAGCATCAAATTCAAGTGGAATAAAGGTTTTCTTTCCGACCTTCTGAAAAATATGTGGTGGTAATAAAGCAACTAAATCATCATAGTGTAGTTTCATAGTTAACTCATATTTCTGAGATGATGCAGATTGTCAACCAGCGGGAAGCTGCTAGCAGCAACATCTTTAGACACAAAGAGTTCAATCTTCAATCTTTTGGTATTGGTGGTCTGAGTGAAGAGTTTGCTGATATATTCCGAAGAGCTTTTGCATCAAGGGTTTCCCCCCCTCATGTGACCTCCAAGTAATGCCCATACGTTACATCCTTGTGAAGTTTTTCTCTCTGTTCTCTATCCCTTTTTTTTAATATATCTATTTATTTATTTCCCTTGGAATTTAGTCTTGTCTGAGATGGAAAATTTGCTAGCTTGTAGCTGCATGTTTTCTTATGTGGCTTTTGTTCTAATAAATGTTGTACTTTAGACTTGGCATCAAACATGTTAAAGGAATGTTGCTTTATGGACCTCCTGGTACTGGGAAGTAGGGGTGAGCATGGGTCGGTACGGTTCGGAGATTGATAAATCTCCAGAACCGTACCGAAGTTCGGAGATTACTAAAATTCGATCTCCAGAACCGTACCAATAAATCGGTTCGGTCCGGTTCGGAGATTTTTATTTTTCGGTTCGGTTCGGTTCGGTTTTCGGGACTATCGGAACAGTTCGGTTCGGTTCGGTTTGGTTCAGTTCGGATATTCGGAGATTTCTTATCATTTTTTTTTAAAAATAATTGAATGACCACCTAGTTATATTTTGATTTTTATGTGTTTTTCTCTAAATCCAACATTCATCAATACTTCATCATACTAAAGATTTTAGTTTTAAATCAACTTTAGAAGTAACTCTAAATTTTAGTTAAGACTAAATTCAACTAACATTGAAAATTTAAAATTCAAACAAAATATAATATAGTTTTATATTAAAGTAATACATATGATATACTAAGGAAGTATTGACAACTTTAAGTAAAACTTAATTTTTTATTTTTTTTTAACTTTAACCTTTCATTCCATTTTTTTTTTTTTAAGCAGAAGAAATTTAATTGTAGATAAAGTATTACTAGACATGAAATTTAAGTGAATCTTAATTGTTATTACTATATTTTATTTGCATTAAAAATTCTCAAATTATATAGGATCAAAATTGACATAAAATATATTAATAAAAACGCATCTATTTTTATAATTCGGTTCTTAATTTCGGTTCTTCGGTTCGGTACGGTACGTGACGGTTCGGTTCGGTTCTCGGTACGGATATTTGTTAAATCTCCAGAACCGTACCAATTATTTTTTCGGTTCGGTTCGGTTCGGAGAAAGTCAAACGGTCAACGGATATTTTTCGGTTCGGAGTGATTTCGGTTCGATTTTCGGAACGGTTCGGAATTCTCCGAGACCCATGCTCAGCCCTACTGGGAAGACTTTGATGGCTCGCCAGATTGGAAAAATGCTAAATGGGAAGGAACCAAAGGTAGATGCATGATGGCTCGTGCTAGTTGTTGATTCTTGTTAAATGTTCTCATGCAGATAGGATCTAATTTCATATAATATACTTCGTGTGGAAGATATTGGAAATAGAAGGCTTTTCATTCTGTTCCATAAGAATGTGGAACACACCTTATCTTGGACAAATAATAGACAAAATTGTATTTAAAGATATAAATGATTGGAATGGAGGAAAAGACTGAGTTTCTTCAGTAGAAATATATATGCCAACTTTCAAACATGATCTTTCTCTCTCTCTCTCTCTCTCTCTCTCTCTCTCTCTCTCTGTATGTGTTGGTGTGTGTGTATGAGGGACTGAGGGAGTGATTGAAAAAGTCTATAGGATGGCTTTTGTAAAAGTTGATTATATCTAACCGTCAAACATCCATATGATAATGGACTTTTAGACCCAAACACTTCTCACTTGAGACTTTTCTCGGTATTCCACTCTTTTGAATCATAATTGTGATTTGTTTTTTTCCTTTTCCTCTTTCGCTTTTCAAATTGTACACCTGAAATCAGAACGTATATTCGCGCCTGATACTGTCATTAGAACATATTTCACATGCTATTTGGTACCATGTGGTGCTTTGATGAACATATTTAGGAGTTTTCTGCTCTGGTCCGTCAAATAATCGAACATTCATAGCCAGTAAAAGTTGGACAAGAAGTTTCAGTCATGTATATTTCCTGGGTTTACTTGTCTATTGTTTTGCACTCCTTCCAGTAAAAACTTAGTGCATGATAGAATCCTTCTGCAAGAATATACTGTGCTCACCATATAATATAACATGGTTTAGGTGATGAAACAAATTATTTCCAAGTGTCCAGTTATTCCGTTGCAATTTATCCTCATATGAGATTCTGCTATTGATTAAGAATCATCTATTGGCAGGTTCTGTAACATGGTTTTGAACATTCTGGGTTGCTATAATTTATAGTTTGTTATTCAAGCTGATTGGTTATATTTAAAGTTTATACCGGTTTTATGTTTTGTACTCCACCTGATGTTCATTTTTTTTTTTTTTTTNTTTTGATTATGACCTGGAATGTTAGATTGTGAATGGACCTGAAGTGTTAAGCAAATTCGTTGGTGAAACTGAAAAAAATGTTCGAGATCTGTTTGCTGATGCTGAGCATGATCAGAGAACCAAAGGTGGGTAAACACAAGGACCAAAGTCCATCCTTCACATTGCATGTGTCCTCGACTTATTGTTTTTCTCCATCTTTCAGGTGATCAAAGCGACTTGCATATCATCATTTTCGATGAAATAGATGCCATTTGTAAGGTAGGGGATTAAGACACTATCTGTAATATCTTGTATGCCTTCCCTTTTTCTTTCCCCTTCTTATGTATGCTTCCATTGCCTTGGGGAATTTGACTATGATGCTTATCTGTCCGCGGTATGTGTGATCAGACAAGTGCTTAACTAGCCGAAAATATAACCACAAGCTTGTTGCTCAAGTGGTACCTCTCACTCTTTATAAGGGTGTTGCACTGGTTGACACAGGGTTCGATTCTGGTACCTCACAGTTCCTTAGGAATTTTGTCCCCCCTTACCGCCAAAGCCCTATAATGTATTAAAAAAAATCTAGGCGAACACATTTAATTGGAACTTAAAATTATAAGTTGCAGAATTTATGTTTAGTCCAACTTGCATCCATATACCATAACAAGATCCAATAGTCTATTACCACTGGCCTTTGTCTGAAAGCTAAGCCAGATTCTTTTTATAAGAAAATAAATTTGAAGTTCATTTTGACCATTCATGCTTATTGTTTGAACGAACTGAGCATATGCTGGCTCCTATGTTCTTATCAAGCACTCAACCTTGGTCATGAAATGCTATTCACACTGATTGTTCCAGTAAACAGCTGCCACTTGATTATTGTATGTTGAGATTTTTATGCCATTGCTAAGTCTTTTATTTTTTCCTTTTTGTTTGAACATCTCAGTCTAGAGGTTCTACAAGAGATGGAACTGGAGTACATGATAGTATCGTAAACCAACTCTTAACTAAGGTAATGATGGTTTTAGTGTTTTTTTATCTTTTATTTTATTTTATTTTTTTATGGGGGCTATTGTACCACATTTAATGCTAGTTGTCGAAACTGAGGAACTTTTATACTTTCTATTTAGATAGATGGCGTGGAATCCCTGAATAATGTCCTGCTTATTGGAATGACGAACAGAAAGGACTTACTTGATGAAGCTCTTCTGAGGTGCTTGTTTTTCCTGTGTTGATTTTGTTATTTGTTTTTACAGATAACAGTAATGTGGATCCTCTGTTAGAATCTTTGATTTTGGTTTTGGTTTTTTAATACAGTGATTTAATACAACTCATAACATCACCAATTTTTTAAAATGCGGCAATATAATTCTCAGGCCTGGACGCTTGGAAGTACAAGTAGAGATCAGCCTTCCGGATGAAAACGGTCGTTTACAGATTCTTCAGATTCATACGAACAAGATGAAAGAAAGTTCTTTCCTGGCTCCAGATGTAAACTTGGAAGAGCTCGGTACTTGAATGACTTTGCAAATTTTCACTAACTTTTACTATAGAAAGAAACCTATTCTAAGAAATCTGTCAACTTGAAAGAATATGCATCCAGAATGGTGGAAGGACCTTTTGCTTTTATTTGGATAATCTATATGAAGTCCTATTGTTGTGTCAAGTGTTCTTCTTGCTAAGTGTCACTTACGTGAGGCAAAGTCGAACTATTTGCTTCTGGGATATCACGTCTATCTTAGGAGAAGTACCATTGCGAAAGCTATGCATAGACTAGTTTATTGGATGTTAGAACTAATGCTGAGAACTGTGGGAGAAGTGCTTTTTTTCCTTCATTGTGAAGCTTGTGATTTTTCCTTTGGTGGGCTGAAAGAAATGAATATATATATATATATATATATATATATATATGGATTGGTTCCTGCATCCCATTATTTAAAGTGAGGACGTGAGACTCATTCCTAGCCACAAGATGTAGATCTTGATTTAAATAATAATTCTTTATTTTTATTATTTAATTCTTTATTTTTAATTATTTAAATATTATTATGACCATTGACCGTTGACTCCGGCGTTGACCGTTGACTTCCGGCGAAAATCGTTGACTTCCGGCGTTGACCGTTGACTCCGGCGTTGACTTCCGACGTTGACCGTTGACCATTTGTCTTTTGTTATGTTATTTCTTTCTTGCTAGGTTAGTTGTGTCTTGTTGCTAGGTTAGTTGTTTGTTGTTGCTTGGTTAGTTATTTGTAGCTGCTAGGTTAGTTGAATTTTGTTGCTAGGTTATTTTTTCTTGCTGCTAGGTTAGTTGTCTTTTGTTGCTAGGTTAGTTCTTTCTTGCTGCTAGGTTAGTTGTCTGATACTGCTAGGTTAGTTGTCTTTTGTTACTAGGTTATTTCTTTCTTGCTGCTAGGT